TTACTGCTCGTCTGTGTCCTGCATTTGGTTCCTAACCTGCCTCTGCACGCGGCCAGTCCTGACAATGTATTGTGGAGCTAAACTATAGAGGGCTTTAAGAACAAACAAATAACATTTTGTGTGCATCTGGTATGTAAAACTGTGTGTCATCCGCATAACAGTGATACAAAACATTGTTTTTCTGAAAGATAGTGCCAAGGGGAAGCATGTATAGCCAGAATAAGAGAGGGCCTAAAACTGAGCCTTAAGGGATGCCACATTTAATAGCAGTAAAAATGATTTCTCTCAGGTAGGAGGTAAACCATTTTAACACAGCGCCCTATAGACCAACTTTGTCCTCCAGGCGTTTGAATAGAATTCCATCTTCGACTCTGTCCTAAGCTAAGATCAAGCAGGACTAAAATGGCACTAGAATCAGAGATGACGGAGAGAAGGATATCATTATGTACCTTAACAGGGCAGATTCAGTACTATGAAGTTCTCTAAAACCAGACTGGAATTTGTCAAAGATGTTTGACGTGTTCAAGTACGAGGAGGACCAATTTTTCTAAAACGCTGGAAATAAATGGTAGCTTGGAGATGAGCCTGTAGTTTTTGTCATTGGAGTCAAGGCTAGGTTTCCTTAAAAGGGGTTGCAGAATTGCAAGTTTGAAACTGGAGGAAGTGACACCCTTGGTTAAGGAACTGCTAATTATTACCTCAATAAGATGGAAAATAAGGGACACGTCTAAGTAGACTGCAGAGATATGTTGCCCTCACTGTCACAGTGTTAAACTGGTTCAGTCCTTATCTGTCAGGCAGACATGATGTTGTCTCACTTGGTCACATTCATCATCTACTGTCAGTTAAATTCTAGGTGTCCCGCAAGACTCAATCTCTGCTGACTTTACATGCTGCATTTGCTTAATAGCAAGGGACATGGAATTCATTTGTATATGTATGTAGATGATAAACACCTGTGCATTTTTTATCACAAAATTACCTGTGCCTGGTCAATAAACATGTACATTTCTATGTTAATACATATTTGGCACAAATTCCAGCAGCTGAACAGAGATGAGACTGAGAAAGTTGAGATTCCTCTATATGCATAAACCAGCATGATGGGAAATGGGACTTTTTATCAGGTGTGAGTAACAGTGAGTGAGTAAAGGGAAGTGTAAAATACTTTCCATCTAGAGACACAAAACTTAATACATGTATGAGCTGTAAAATGATTGACTATGAAAGATGGTTTTGAAGTAAAACATTATCTGATCAACTTATGATGATATTGATACTGAACATTAGAAGTGACTAAATCAATTTTTCTTTCTTAATTTAAGAGTGAAATCCTGAAACCTAATTTAAAGTACAAGTTGTAGACACTTAGATTGTTTCTTCATCAAGGCAATACTTTACTAGGTATAGTGTATTCAACATCTTTAAAGTTTCTTATGAGTTGCTCCAGCCACATAAATTAACATATCCTCGTGGCCTATTTTCCTGGCCATTAAATATTGTCATAGCAACCATACCAAGTACACTGAACAATGACAAGAGAGCTACCATTAATGGGCATGGGTATTTGGCTTTAGGGATATTTGGTCAGGTGCTGTTTCAGATTAAACAGGAAAGGCGTCCAGATGAAGACAGTGAGAAGCTAGGCTAGTCTCCTCACAACCAGCTTAAACACTTCCCAGTTATACCTAAAGGTTAATACCCCTAGGCCTGAGGATCTGACCCTTTTACCAGTGATCTGGAGCAGTACCTCCTGGACAGGGGTAACTTGGGATCTAACAGACTAAAGTCCTGATTGTTGGAGCACCTTACATTCTCAGACACTAAATATAAAGACCAGTGCTGACGATCTTGATATGATGTGAGGTCTTCACAGATCCTGAAGAACTGAGACCTGACCCGGAGCCCAAGTCATACTGGGTTCCTCTTTTATACTAATTTGGTCTTATCAGGTCAGGTAGTGTCATGTTTTACTGCCAAATGGTTCAGGTCTGTGTGTCTAATACCCGAGTGGATCTGCATGAATCGAGACGGTGTAATAAGAGCAGCGTAGCTCCTTTAAGGAAGAGCTCAGTGTGAAGAGAATGAATCTGATTCACATTGAATTGCTTCAAATATCATTATCTTCTGTCAATCTGTTTGTCCAGGAGGTGAAAACAGGGTTTTGAATATATATTTTTTGTCATTAGTTTTTCTTTGTTGGTAATTTCTATTTTTAGCCTAATAATGTGTCCAAACCAAAATGTAATTCTGCCTTTAGACAATCACAGGTTGTTCAGTGACATGTACAGTGTGAACTGTGACCCAGAATAGCGTCAGTGTTTCTGCCACAGAAAACATTTGTTGCATTGCAGATATGGAGCTTCAGTATCCTGAGATTTCAGTGTGATGTGTGGACGTTGATGTTTGATATATTGTGAATTTGTTTTGTGTCTCTACATCAGTGGAGCTGACTCTGCTGCTGTTGTGGTTTTAATGGTCTGACTGGGCTTCTTCACTGGAACTGTTCTCTTCATCTGAGGAAACTTTCAGCTTGTTGAGGAGGACTGTTTGAACTTCAGGAGGAAAACTGGTGGAGACGCAATGAGCATCACAAATCATCTGTCTGTGTGTGTGTGTGTGTGTGTGTGTGTGTGTGTGTGTCCTCAGTGAACTGTATCAGTCTCTGCAGTAGCTTCCAGCTGCAGCAGTCAGTTCAGTTTCTGTTCAGTCTGACTGAGGGAGGTTTTTGTACGACGCTTTTTCACTGTGGAACTCGTTGGTCACAGAGAACTGTGTGATCCTATGAAACTCTGACAGTAGTAAACTGCTGCATCTTCAGCCTGAACTCCACTGATGGTCAGAGTGAAGTCAACTCCATTCCCTGCTCCACTTCCACTGAATCTGGAGGAGATTCCAGAAAATCTACTTGATGTATAGTAGATCAGAAGTTTAGGAGCTTCTCCAGTTTTCTGATGGTACCAGGCCAGGTAGTATTGTGAACCAGAGCGGTGAGCAACTGCTGGACTGGCCTTACAGTCAATAGAGACAGTCTGACCCAGCTGCACTGATTTGGCTGCTGGCTGAGTCAAGACAACATTTTGTCCAACAGACCCTGAGGAGAGAGAAGAAACACTGGACATGAGATGGTGAGGTGAAACTCAGCTATACGCCAAATGATTTTCACATCACAGAAAAATGATTTTCCTCACCCTGAGTGAAGCAGAGGAGAGTCCAGATGAGGACGGAGACCAAAGTCATGTTTTTGATGAGGAGGATTTCTGTGGCTTCTGTTGTCATGAAGGACAGCTGTCAGTCATCCAGTGTTCAACTCTCAGGACTATAAAGTCTCCCAGAGCACTGGAGCATGGTGCTGCTGATGCAAAGTGGCTCTCTATGGAAATGCTCTGACTGACTCCAACAGGGACTTGGATTACTCTGATGATGCTGCTTCTCAATGGATCAATACGTTTACCAGAGGATTGATTAGGAATGTGTCAGTGATCATTTTTATGGACATTTGCTTTGATGACTGCAGAAAGATTTTCTTTTACAACATCTTCTGTCTGCTTTCATTTCATTCTAGAGGGATCAATTTGACTTTCACACCAATGGAACAATATATACGTAAAAATGGGATTCATTCTGAACAACTGTGTCACTGTTTGATAAATATAACATGAAATAGTTCATTCTTTTAAAAACAGGAAGTGTTTTTGTTGAGTTTGTTGTGTTCAAAGTCAGAGAGCCGTGTCTCTCTACAGTGAGAGGTTTTTGTACGACGACTCAATCAGTTTGTATCACTGTGGTACACGTTCGGTGGAGGAACCAGACTGGATGTTGGAAGTAAGTTTCTGCACAAATATTAAATATCGTATCATCAGCGAAGGTTTTAATTTCTGTGTCTGAACATTTGTAGTAGATATAAATTTCCTCTGGACTGATCTAAATCACTTTAAAGACTCAATCTTATTGTTCGTTTCTCCTGTTTAACCATGAAGCTGAACTCAAAGCAGCTTTACTGAACTTCTCTTTAAACGTTCCATTTAATTTGTGAAATGTGAACAGCTTGAACTGCATAAAGATTAAAGAACAACACTCGTACTTTAAAAATCATTCAGCCTTTAATTCTGCATTTTAAACTGTTTAGAAGTTGAGTTAAAATTATTTTGAATAGTGTGAATGAAGATAAAAATGTTTCCAAATCTCTGATCTTCTAAAATGGCTCAAATTGTCTTTTAACCTCAGTTTGAAATAATGTTGACAGTTCTCTGATGCTGTTTTTAAATCTGTCTGAGGAACAGGTTACCTGTGGTCGTCAGGTATTTTGGGCTGATAATGTCCTTTAACAGTGGATCTCAGTAACTTTTGCCCTTTTGAGAGTTTTGACAGTAAATATGTTTTTTGTATTTCCAAATTTAAAACCTGGTTGTTTTATTTCCAGTGCAGTTTGATATCTTTCAGCTCATATGAGGACTCTTTCTGTGCTGATATGCATGAGAGGTTTCTTAAAGGAAGTGAAACAACGTGTGAGTGAGTGACTGGTGGAGCAGAAACCAGCTGTGTGGTCCCCGTCCTCTAAGCTGATTGGTTCTTCTCCTAGGTGATGCCCGTCCCACCCTGACGGTGCTGCCCCCCTCCAGCGAGGAGCTGCAGCAGGGGAAGGCCACGCTCATGTGCCTGGCCAACAAGGGCTTCCCCTCAGACTGGAGTCTGGCCTGGAAGGTGGACGGCAGCAGCAGCAGCAGCAGCAGCTGGGAGGAGAGCAGGAGCCCCGGGGTGCTGCAGAAGGACGGCCACTACAGCTGGAGCAGCACCCTGAGGCTCTCTGCAGACCAGTGGAGGAAGGTGGGCTCTGTGACCTGTGAGGCCACCCAGGGCTCCCAGACTCCGCTCTCAGAGACACTGAGGAGAGACCAGTGTTCCCAGTCCTGACCTGACTCACTGGGACTCTGCTACTGGTTTTCCTCTGCTCCTGCTCTCACTCTGCACTCTGGAACTGTCTCTCTCTTTTATTTGACATCTTTCAACAGCAAGATTTACTAGCTTGTTGCACTGTTTCAATATTATTTCAGTGTTTCCAGATAATAAAGACCTTTTCATCCAATCAGCTGTTTTCATGTTTATTATCATCAAAGTGTCTTAATAAATGTTCTCTTGATGGTGTCAGTGACTGTTTTACATCCAGAGAACAACAGTTTAACATCAATATATTTCTAAAGTTACAGAATATTGAGAGAGATTTTAAAGTCAGACATAACTCCTCATTATATTTTGATTAGTACAAACCAGTGATGGTCGTAGAATTCCATATTTTTTCACAATCAATTTGAATTCATTCATGACTGTAAAACCTTTCCTGCTGTCGTTACAGATTTTTCTGTAATAATAAACCTTTTTGGAACAAAATCCCTGGTAAAACTGTCTTAATGGTAATAATTTTAATCTTGTAATTGTTTGTGTATCCAAAGAACCTTTTCACTTGAATAAAACTAAAGATGATAAAAGGAAATAATTCAAATGTTGCTGATTTATTTACTCCATGAACCTTTTGGTTCCATTATGAAATAAATGTGTTTGCTGGAATAAAAAACACAAATTAAGTTATTTATACATGTTGTTATAGACATGATTGGTCATTTTGACTAGATGAATGAAATTAGAGTTTATTGAGATGATATTTCGTTAAGTATGTTGAAGTTCCTATGAAATTTACAATTTTAGTGTTATGATACTCTGTGAATTTCAGAAGAATAGTTCAATTAGATTATAAATGTTTGGCTTAAATACAGAATATTTAGTGTTGAAATGTTTAAAGTGTTGTTATTATTGTCTAAATGTTTTTTTATAAACCTCTGTTTTAGTTTCAGTGCAGCTGTTGAGTCAGATCAGTTCCTCTCCAGCTGAGGGAGGTTTTTGTACGACGTATCACTGTGTGAACGGGAAGCTGTGACTCTGCTGACAGTAGTAAACTCCTGAATCTTCAGCCTGAACTCCACTGATGGTCAGAGTGTAGTCAGTCCCAGATCCACTTCCACTAAAACGATCTGGAACTCCAGACTGACGAGTTGTAGCTGCATAAATCAGGAGTTTAGGAGCTTCTCCAGGTTTCTGAAGGTACCACTGGAGGTTGTTATAAACACTTGTACTGGCTTTACATTTGAGAGACACAGCCTGTCCTGGAACAACAGACTGAGATCCAGGAGACTGAGTCAGGATGATTTGTCCTGATGAACCTGGAAAAGATGAAAAAGAGAAGGGTTATTGAGACAAATCCAGCTTGGAGAAAGATGATCAGCATCCAAACAGAAGAGTCTCATTTCTTTAAGATGGAGAACAGATGGAAGAAGGTAAATGCTGCTTGTTTCAGTGTTTCTCCATCACAGCAGAACATCATTGTGGTGAACCTGGTTGCATCCTGAAGCAAAGTTTTCAGAAGAGAGTCTCACCCTGAACAAGGAGCCCCAGGGTGGCCAGCAGTAGAATCAGTGACATCATCATTGTGCTGCCGGCGTGTCAGTGGCTCTGAAAGGCCTGGACAGCCACTGATCAACACTGGCCTCTTAACGGCTGGGAGCAGAGAGGCAGGACAGATATGCAAACACACAGAGTCAGTGAACTGTAGCTGTCCTCAACATATCATGCTGTTTCCTCCTCACTGCTGGGACAGCTGCCTCACAAACAGGCTATATTTGTGTCAGAACATGAAAGAACTCCAACTATTTCAACTTTACATCAGGTCTCTGTGTTGACGTGTTGGGCTGCATACACATAAACTGATATAAAATGATGCCTCAGCTTTTTATTTTGTGAATATTTTAAATCATTTGATGTAGAAGTGCTGATGTAATTGATTTTGTGTAATCAGGTGGAGTTTATATATAGTATGGACTTGGTCATTGCGATTAATTGTAAATTTCTCTTATTTCCTAATTTGTTGAAATTTTAACCCACTGAAAGATGTTTAAGTGAAAGGAGAGTGCTTTTTTTATTTTCAATGTTCCACTGCTTTACTTCATCCATAAAATGTCCGGCATGATGTCTCTCCCCTCTTTCAAGATGGTCAAAGCATTTGAATGCTGTTTAAATTGTTCATCAATAGAATAGGCAGTAACCCAGAGGTAGCTGTTATTCCCTAGTGATGTCCAGTGGTCACCAGTAAGTGCGACCATCGCTGTCATCTCTAACTCCTCAGCATGTTTTGCCCTCTCTGCTTCATAAAGCTTGTGTATGACTGCGGTTCTGGAGGGCAGCTCATAAGTTAGGTTGTTGGATGCGATCTGCGATCTTATGTTGCAGAGACCTTTGTCCTCCAATGTGTCATTCGGCCTGCATGTTGTGGCTCTCCATTTAGCAATGGCTACTGTTAATTTGAAGGTTGAAGATTCCATGGTCTTCCATCGCATGTGGTCTTTCTCCTATTACCTTGGCTAACACTGTTGGTGTTAGATGTTGTTTGCTTGGCTTGCATGTAAACTGTCAACAAATGCAAACTAACAAGTGTTCACACAGCAAGTTAATAATGACACCCCTCCCTGCTATGACTCCTGCAAGTGACAGCTGGTGTGGGAGTGAGTGTGCTTTTGTTAGTTTTAATCTTTGGGTGAATGTGGTGTGTTTTGGTTTTTGTCTGTCTGATCATCTCGCTCCGTTGCTTTTGGCCTTCCTGGTTTGGTGTCGTCTCCTCACCTGACTGCAAGCACTTTCAACACACCTGACCATCATCTACTCATTCAGCCTCCCTTCAAAGACCCAGGCATCACATCCAGTCCCTGCTGTATCGTTAAGTCATACTTGTATGTCTACCACAACTTACTATTACCAACTTACTTGCTAGACACCAGTAACTCTGTGAGCTTTTCTGTCTGCCTCATTTGCTTGCCAGCCTTTACTAACCTCTGCTGTTGTCTAACACCAGACCTGCCAGCCGGCCTTCACACTCAGCCACAATTCGCTCTGGATCATCTCTCCCTGACATCTGCCTGATTAATCTGCCAGTTCACCTTGACTCATGAAACTCTGGACCTTCACCCAAAACAACAGCCCCACACCTGCCTGCTCCCTGAAGTCACATTCTAACCTGCCTGTTTTATCAACCTGACAGTTAATCAGAATTATTGCTGCCTATAATTTCAAACATTTTAATTTTATTTTTCTCATCTAATCTGTAGTCCTTTCCAAGTTTACAATGTTATTAAATAGTACTTTCTCCTACTTGAAAAGTTATATATTTACCTCCACGACTATCCCTCCTCTGAAGCCTCACTAGAGTTAAAATACAAGAAGTCCAGCTTTCCACAGAGAGTCATGCTGTTGTTGGTGCAGTTTTTCTGGATCTGAAAAGGGCATTTGATCTTGTCGATCATCAAATTCTACTGTCCAAATTAACAAACTTCAACTTCTCCGAATGATCTGAAACAGAACGCACTGTGTATCTGTACATAATATTAAATCTCCTCACCTTGAATTTCCAGTAGGAGTCCTCCAAGGCTTCATACTTGGACCTTTTCTCTTCTCTTTATATATAAATGACCTACCTACTGTATGTGAAAACATCAACATCTTAATGTACGCAGACGACACTGATCTTTACACAAGTAAAGACTGCTCAGGAAGCCTCACAAACTCTGATATCTGTAAGTCCTTATAGGCAAGTCATGCCACTCGGCCGCCATCTTGGCAACGCCTCTGGGCAGCTATTTTGGACTAACGAGACCAGGCTCCTATCTGAATGAATGGGGAGAGAGCCAGAACTGCACTTTTACTGGTCACGGGACATAAAAACTACATGAATAGAATCTGCAGTAAAATCTGATGAAAATCGCTGTAAGATTTTGACAACTTTGCCCCAAAATAAGGTTTAAAAAGCATTTTTCCCGACCGGTTATACTTCTATTACGCATGTGTCACCAATTCTGCGCATGCGCAGTAGAAGAATAACAGACACTTACATCAGTGGAACCACACGATTAGCTCAAATATGATTCCTGCTTTGGCTTTTAAAAGCAGACGTGTTGTGGTGGCAGCCCGGCTGACAGTGAGTGTCCTGGTTTTTTCTTCTTTTTATCAGTTTTTCTGCTTTTTTCCTTGGTTTCCTGTTCTCTGCCTGCCTCCCTGTGTTTTCTCCCCTGTGTGCTCTCTCTCCCTCTGCTCCTGAGCCCAGCCAACTACCCGCACCTGCATCTCATCAGCCACCTCGTCAGCCTGCCAGTAATCACCTCATGACTGCCTGTATTTCAACCCCGGTTCTCCACACCATCCTCGCTTGATCGTCGTTGCTCCATACCCGGTGCCATCCCCACGTTCAGGCTTTCATGTTTCTTGTTTTTTCACGTTTACCCTGTACCTTGTTGCTGTCTTCCCTAACCTTGTCTCTCTGTCTGTTTCCCTCCCAGGTACACTCACCCTCGTCCTCCGTTCGGCTGGGTTCATCCACTGGCCCACTCCTCTTTGGACTTCCCTCACGGCGTCCTCCCTGTTCCCCCGCCTCTCCTCGCTTCCCCGGCCCCTGTGTTCCCCGGCTCTCTGGCCGCCTGTCTCCTTGGTTCCCCGTGCCTGTACTTCCCCGACGTCCCTCTCACCCTTTTTCCTCCAATAAACCTCCTTCCCTCTGAGTGCTGCATTTGGGTCCTCTCTGTCCACACACCACACCCCAAAACAAGATGATTGGCTTTCTAGCGGGAGGGGCGGGATAACTGCCATCTTTGCCGTTACGGGCTTTCCCCATAGAGTTGTATTGAGGATGTGATTGCCTGTCTGTACTGACACGTTTGCAGGATTGGCTCACTAAGTCTTGTCTGCTTCTGAACTAAAAAAAAACTGCATGATATTTTTGAAACGTCTGACTGTAAGGACACACTCAGATGTGTTCTTGAATGAAGAACTTGAAATTGTAAATTAATTCAAGTACCTTGGTGTTCCACTGGATCAAACAACATCTTTTGAAAACCATATGAATTGAAAATCAAAAACTGTTATTTTCAATCTTTCCAATTTAAGGCACATCAGACCATCACTTCCAGAAACAGCAGCCAGAATGTTTCCTCATTCAATGATCTTTTCTCATATTGAATATTGTTTTACAAACTGGTCATTTTACAAATACCACTCAACCACTCAACCTCTACCACTCAAACTAATACAGTCACAACCTTAAACCTCTTTGATAGAAAACCATTTTCTTTTCATTACTGCTTAATCCTGCAGAAACATAACTTGCTAATTTAGAATTTTTTTTTAAGTTTAAATTTGCCTGCTACACTGTGTGTGTGTGTGTATGTATGTATGTATGTATGTATGTGTATATATAAATAAAAGATTCTACATGGACTTGCTCCACCCCCATTAACTGAATACATTGAATTGTGGTGGTATAAGTTACTCACAACCACACCAACATCATTGTTCCACATCTTACCATAAACCACTACAGAAATCACCACATTTCTGCTCCATTTTCCATTGCAGATAGAACCCAGAGATAGTACGTAGCTTGTCGTTATAGCGACGCCACACGCAACTGCCGCAACGTAATGTTCACACACACCAGCGATCCACACAACTTTCTCTTTTTTAAGTTAAAACGTTTGAACCTTCCTCAGAATGTAAAGACAGATAAGCGGTATGAAAAGCTTCCAGCTGTGTTTTCCTCTGCTGTTGTTGCTGCAACGGTCTGTGTGACGGCGGGAGCAGAGGGCTCTGTGAGCAAGCATATTTTTGTTCCGCCATCACTTCTCATGAAACTGTCACTATTCAAAATTTACACAGCCGATTTCTCTCCTCAAAACTTCTCAGAAGTGGATTTAGTGAGGAACTTCCATACGAAAACTGTAAAATATAAAGGCGTTTTCATTGTGACGTCACAAGTAAAGGAAGTGAAGGGCTGGACTACAAACGAGAGGTTTTCGAGCGGTTCAGAGCAGAGTTTTCTGTGGGAGATGGGAACTCCCTTTGGGCTGGACTTTGGGCTTCCTCACTTTGCAAACCTGTTACATGCACAAAAAAGAGATATAACTCAATAAAGGAGAGGGGAAAAGCCAAAAAGCATAATACCACCTCTTTAGCACTTTTGATAAGACTTCATTGCATCAAATGGCACTTTACTACATAAACTGCACTTTAAAAACATCACATAAGAATAACTTCTCAAACTCTACAACAGATTACTGTCTCCTTATGTTTCCTTTGGTAACCATGAATACTGTAACATAAGGACTGTTTTGTATATTGTTGTGCAGTGTACTATTTTGTTTATTGTTTTTGTAGTAGGTTGGAAATGCTACATGTTTAGTTTTCTATAAACAGACACCCCGCATTTTTTGTTATAATCTATTTTAATACTCTAGTCATAACATTAAGGTAATGCACTTACTCGTCAGTAGATTGTGCGCTGGGATTGCTCTGGATCAAGTAGGGAGACTGCAGCTACAAGCTCCCGAAAGGCGTTTTCATTTGGTATTTAACCGCAAGCTATATTTCAGAACATTTGTTAACAGATTATGCTT